CCTATCCCCTCGTGTGCCTTGCCTCCCACGACTACATGATAATTGGAAGTCACCGGAATCACAGTACTGTAGCCGGAAATCCTCCCTGCTTGGGCCGGTTGACCGTTTAGAGAGAGATATATATATATATAAAAGGTTTGAGAGAAAAAATGAATCGAAAGAAACCCCTCTGGTCATAAAGTGATTGCAGGGTGGTACGAGGATGGAGACCTTGGACCGCATTAGATCTCAATAATGGGATTTTAACCTAAGATCTCACTGGCCTACAATCATATACAGAAAACCACAATGTTCCTACTAACCATCCTCAGGCCTACAATCATAAACCACAAAGTTCTTACTACAATCATAAAACCACAAAGTTCTTACTAACCATCCTCAGATTTCTCGTCGAACTAAACAAAGAATGATATTTTATTTCATATTTTTCGTTACAAGTGGTATCACAGAGTTCCTCTAGAAACTTCATGCCAGTTAATACTTGCGTTGAGTCTTATTTAAGCTAAAAAGACAATCAGTGAGAAATAAAAAAAATGCCAACGGCTTCTAAGGCAGTTTGGCCCTTAAAGTCAAAACAGATCAAATATTTCATAAGCATGGTCATTTTCAACGATGATTGGTCCTTCTTTATTTATAGCGATTTATTTTTACGATTTTGGCGAGACTAATGTCTCTCACATGATGTTGTCCACCATTTTACTTCTAAAAGCTTTCACTCATTGTATACATTCTAGTTTGAGTAGTGATATGATGCAACCATTGTATTATACTACGATGAAACGATGAGTTGGCCAAATTTTAGCCATTGGATTTTTTTGAATCCATCGTGTGACATTAAGATCTACCTTATAATAAAAGTTAAAAATTCCAAATGTCTATCACTGTGCGCCTCTATCTCCTGCTCTTCTCTCATCGCTACTGCATCTCTTGTCATCTCCACCTCTCTCTCTACCAGCATGCTCTCATCTTCCTTCACTCCCCTCACTCTCCTCCTCTTGTCCCTCTCTCCTCTATCTTCCTCTCCCCATCATCTCCTCTAATCTTCTTTTTCTCTCTTCTTCCCTTTCCAAGCTTTCTCTCTCTTCTTTCCTCACTCATTTTCTTTCTCCATCTCTCTTATTGCTCCCAAAAAAATGGACTTCAAATCACAAGCAAACTCCAAAGCTCCAAATAGCCAAATCAATATGGCTTAAGAACCCCAAACAAATTCTGAAGTTTATTGCTCTAATGTTTCTATTTCTTCTCTCTCCTCGAGTATAATTTCTCTCACTCTTGTGTGTTTCATGTAGCTACTTTCTCGCTCTCTCTTGTGGAGAAAGGCACGAGAAAATTTAGTAAAGAAGCCCCTATGTGCCAGGAACAAATTCTCGACATATTTTTACTCAGCAATAGCTAACAAAACTCTGAGAATCAATGGATGATAAATACAGACGAGTTGGTTTGTATCTATTTCAAGCGCTTTTGGTGTAGAAGGTGTGATTTTTCTTCAGTTTTCTTGTATTTTTGTTATTCATGAATCAATAAATAATGCAGAGGGGGGGCATTTGTTCTTTAATTTCATTTATTTATTTATGTAGAGATCGCTTGCGAGCAATGCTTTATCATTTTATTCTAGGTTTGGGATTTGATACTTTGCGGTTTGCATTGTTTGGCTTTTTTAAAAAAAAAATTCTGGATGGCTTTGTTTGATTTTCTTTTGAAGAATTAGTTGTTTTAATGGGATGGAACTATTAGTAGGTATCTTTTTTGTACTAAGACTTCGAGATTTTCAGACACTTCTTGTGTTATTTGTATTGAATTTAAGCTAAAAACTTGCCACACTAGAATATCACGATTTTGAAAGGGATTTTTTTGAAAAATCCCAAGAAATTATGAGTTATTGCCAGAATTTTTGAGAAGTATGATTTTTTACTGTTTATCGAATGTTTTTGGGGTGTCTCTTTTGAAGAATGAGTTTAATGACATGCAACTATGATTGTGTCAAGGCTTAGAGATTTTCAGGAACTTGTACAATGTTCTTGGTGAGTTTTGTTGAAAATATGATCTATCAAGGCCTAAATTCCAGTAGTCTCTCATTCAATGAGAGCGATTGAGAGATTGAAATCTTGGCTTCTGTGACATGGAGCCCATATTCTTTTACCCCGAGTACGCATGAGGCATCGAAAGTTCACGTGTTGAGAAAGCAATTTCTCAATGAGGTGTGAGGGTCACCTCCTAATCAGGATTTTATAGGTTAGCCTCATGTTTAGCTGCAATCGACTAGGGCTTAGATAATCCAAATGAGAAAATTAGAGCCCGAGTACTTAATGAGTATCAGCCCTGTATGGAATGGTCAAGACTTATGGGACATCAGTCCTTATCCTGACACGAGACCATTGCATGGCATGTGTATTTTCATTTCGTACGGAAAGCCACTATTCCAAATGCATTATCCGAGTTTGGAAAAGTCAATGCACATGTGCTTTGAGAGGACCCTTGTAATTGAGTTGGATTATGTCCCACAGGGGTACACCTGTAATCTATTACGAGCCAATGATCGGAAGTTCTGGCTCAGCGGCTTTGATATGGCCAATTATGTGTCCCTGCTTTAGACTGTGGAACATACGTCTATTGGGTCGATCTGAGACTCGACGGAACATCATTTGGGACTAGCCCAATGGAGTACTCTGATACTTATAGTTATTAGCCTGACATCTCACTATATCTTTTGTCCGATTTTATAATGATGAAAAAACTTAATAATTGCTCAAAAATACTTTCAATATTTATTGGGAATTTTAGGGAATTTTTCAAAATTTTATTTGCTAAAAAAATAAGGGTTTTCATATTGTTTGAATCAAATTTCATTTTAGTCCTAACCTGGTAGTGTCATGTGGCGTTCGAGTGGCCATAGGGCTGCCACATGACACCCCACACCTCACTCTAGGATCACCGCTCAGCTGGGTACTGATCCCTATACGGGGGACTAGATTGGTATTTAGTTGATTGTTTTATAAGGGGATGTGTTATGGTATTTTGTTATATTTTGTTATATAATGTTATAAATTAAGACCCCCTTTTTATCACATGTCTTAATTAATTCACACATGGGTCATGCATAGCATGTGTGAAGTTTAATTAATTTATTTATTTGATATTAAAGAAGAAATGTATTTTCAAATTTGAG